CTGTAGAGCCAGTGTGTGACAACTGCAATGTTACATGCCATCTCTAAGTATTGGGAAGAGTATATTTTACTCTGCCAATACTTCTCCTTTAAAGATATCTACATACGTTAAAAAGACCAGAACGCCAAGGGCAGTGTAGGATGAGGGCCCCTTCCAGTGCTCTTTTATTGTCCTAATAGCTGTAAAGGGCATATTTGTAGCAAACATCCTTCTTTGGAGTGCCAGTGCTGAAGGCAGCATTCCAAATAGCACACATTTACACTTCCACAGCAATCAGTCCTGCTGAGAAATGCAGAGTAAACAAGCTAGGATAATTCACTTGTTAAATCAACCTATCTGCTGGCCAAGGGTTATTATTCAGGTGCACGACAGGTTATTTCCAGTCTTTCTCAGACATAAATAATAGATGTAGAGGCTGTGCGTATCTTTTACACTGAGACTAGCACAAACTAACCAGGTCTGATAAGTGGCTGGGAACATCACCAACAAGCAATTCCCTTTCAAACAACTGTATGTTAGGTGCAATACCAAAAGGTTTGAAGCATCTGCAATACATAACGCTAGATACAGGGGTGGACAAATCAACATGGACTCCAGGAGCCAGTGTATCCAATCTGGGAGCCAGCAGAATAGTTTAAGGCCCCATTCACACCAGATCATCTCCAGACCAAACTGTTTCCGGACCCAAAATGCATCCTAGTGTATCCCTATGCTATTTCTGGCCTCTGTTCATATCAGGGCAGTCTGTTCCAGGTCAGACCAGAAAAAAACTGCATGTCTCATTTAGTCTGGTTTGGAATGCACTGGAACTGCGGGCAGATCTGGTCCGGAAAATGGTGCGAACCTGTCCTTAGGGGCCTACTCCATTGACAACAACTAGAGAAAACCTTAAAATTTGGAGCCAGCTGCAATTTTTTAGGAGCATTGGCTACATGACTACTGGGATTTGATCAGCCCTGTTCTAGAATGATGACTGTACTGTTCATCACAGGGGCTTAATGGAATGGTTAGCATGAAGCTGCCCAGAAGATCTAAACAGTTACTAAATCCCATATAAACTTCACCATGTTAATGAGATTTCAGAAGCTGTTTTAGGACTTTTTAAATATGCAGGTTTTAAAGACAAATGCCTGGTTATCCTTCCGTGAAGTCTTTTTTTAGGCACTTCCTGTTATAGGGTGACAACTGTCTCCTTATTGTTATCCTGGGTTGTCACCTTGTCACAAGCACCCCTAATGAAGACTATAAGCAGCCTTGCCAACACACAGTGCACTGGCATAGTCAGCCGTTAATATCAGTAAATTAGTGCATTGCAATGATGCAGCCGACATGGCATTGAGGAGCCGGTGCAAGAAGTGGCTGAAGGTATCTGTAGCACTGGAATGCAAAAAGGATGAACAAAAAGTTATCCAGTTTTTACTTTAAAACCATTGCTTTTTGAATCTGTGGTAGTGTGGAAGTGATGACATTCTGCATTAGGCATACTGCATAAAGAACCACACATACTGGTAAAACATCACAGCTGTACATGGGCTTTAGCTGGCCATTCAGCTGCAGAACAAAAGTTGGCCAAACAGCGACTATAGCCAATCAGCTGCAATCACTCTGTGGCCATTCTGCCAGCCACAAACACTTGCTATCAGAATACGGTAGCCAGCAGGGGAAGCTCCTCTATCAATGTTGTTTAGCGTGCTTGGGGGGAAACAGAAAATGTATCTTGTTTAGCCCACGGGGCTGAACAAGAAGAATATTAATGTGTATGGGCAACTTAAGGCCCCCTCATACTAAACTTCCATCCTCTCAAGTTTGCATGCTTAACTCTCCTGCACCAAGATCCATTAAGCTAAAAAGGAAGTCTATGGTCCAAGAGGGAGTCATTTTTATTTGACCTCTTTAGCCGTGGAGTGTAGTGGTGAGCTGGGGATTGGCGCAAACCTAGTTTACCCGAGTTCTTCCACGCCTGCTCAAAACTGTGGCTACCGCCCCAATCAGTTCCTGCAGTTGCGGTAAGGGCATTCCACCACCCCTTTGTGACAAATGGCTGCAGGGAGGGGAATGCCCATGCAGCAACTGATTGGACTGGGAGGAGGGTTTGTTGGTCACAGTTTTAAGCGGACTTCGGCAAACTCAGGCAAGCTGGGTTCTCACCAAGCCCCAGCTCATTGGCGAGCATAAAGGACAGTCATTTGAAGCTACATGTTGGGACTTATCATGAATTGGTTTAGTTTTCATTTAAAAGGTGCTGTGGTGCTGTGTCTTTTTTATTTTTAGGTCTATGGTTGTCTAACTCATGACTCCAAGCAACTGTAAAAAAAAAAAAGCTCTCCAGAGCACTGCACACCACTGAGGAATTTTGTTTACTGGCAAAGCAAAACCAAAAAGAATGAAAAAAAAAACACCTAGCTGAGCTCACATTTTTCTGGTCACTGCCTCCACATTGTTGTGCAACCTGTGCAGGGTTAAACTCAGGGGGAGTGAGCTGCACACATGTCAACATTCTGCTGACTTGCTAAATGTTCTTATCCTGCTACAGAGAGCTTTGTGTACGAACAGCAGGAAAGCTGACAAAATGCCCTACGTAGTGCGTGAGTGGGAATAATGTACTTTCTAAGAACAGGCTTATGTGTACTATTGTATTCCTCTATTCTCAGTGTGTAAAGTTGGCTGTGTGCTTCCTGCGGTTACACTATATTGTATAGAATGGGATGAATATAGTCTCTGACATGGCTGAGACTTGCTCTATCGCATTTTCTATTTGTGGTTTTACAACAATGAGGATTACGATGATAATAATATTAGAGGTAGAAATATTTTTGCTGAACTGAGTCAGTTCCGTTTCATGGCTATTTTGGGGAGCAAAGGACATGTGCTTCCACCAACCACAACAGACAATGTTCTGAAAAACTAATCCATACCCACTATTTCCAAAACTAACAAAAATAATATTTTGGTATGACAAATTATATGGGCCCACTGGCATTGGTCCAATCCATTGCATTTAACCCCACCTGCATTGCATTAAGTCAGCCCATTCATTAGATTTAGTTGCTTAATGCACGATCAAGGACCTAATATCGTACCTGCTGCATTTTTTTGTGCTTTAGAGTGCTACCTTGTGTTGCAGTGCACAGAATTGCATTTGCCTTGTGTTGGTGTGCTTTAAAAATAAATGGCAACACACTAAGTTAATGGTCCCTGTATGATGTTCTATATATTAATGGTTGGTATTACAGTACCCATGGATATAAGGCTTCCTGTGATCTTCACAAGTCTGGTTAAAAATAAAGGCAACCATGAGGTATAACTGGCTAAAGAATGTAAAAATACAATATTAAGAAAGTATTGAACGAAAACCTATTGTACAGATCACTTAAGAACAAAAGTACAGAGCACATATTAGACTTTCCTTTGGAGCATTATACCCATATTCCTGAGAACAGAAAATGGCTATTCTAAGCCTCAGCTTTAAAAAGAAACAGCGAGATGTTAAAGGAAGCCAGTACCGAGAAAAAATATGAAGGTTGCCATTGCTTACTTCCTTCTCAAAATGTCAGTTCCCTGGTTATCTCTGGTTTCAACTAGGGATGCACCGATACCAGTTCAGATACCAGTGCCGATACTTGGCATTTTCATGAGAACTACCAGGGTTGCAGCTGGGACCTGGCTCTGGCGCTCCACCACTGTCCTGAAATCATTAGTCGATATTGTTTTAGAAAAGCTGCCACATGACAATAAACAAAAATGTATGTATCAGTATCTGTGAGTACTTGGGCAAGTATCGGTACTTGTAAAACTGGTATTGGTGCATCCCTTTATATACGTTTATAAAAACAAAATCATACATTAAAACAGAGATGTACAAATCCCAGGAGCTCCGTGTGCTCCTTACAAATGACAGCTGCCTCCTAACTTTTGAATTTTTCTCATGTCTAGTTTTGAAACTCGAAAAGTATCTGTACTCGCATCGAGTACGGTACTTGATATCGGTGCATCTCTAGTTTCAACACTATCTGATTCACTGACTTGGAAATGGCAACCACAAAATGAAGTCAGAACTCCTGGCACTGGTACAGTACATGCATGTTCTCAGACAGTTCAGAAGATACTGGATAGTCATGACAACAGGCAATTTTCAGAAAGACATGTCAGCAATGCACTTTTTTTTAAATTAAACAATATCTTAGATTTTCCTTCCTTTTTAAGAAGAAATCCGAAGTCAATTGTTTTAGTCTGAAAATAGATGAATGAAAATGTCAGATACTACAACTGATTGTTTATCCTGTGATCTCCTCTGACCTGATCCTTGTGCTCACAAAACACAGTCACTAGGCAGGTAAATGGGTACGTTTCAGTAGAAGTTCAAATGGTCCTTAGACAAGTTAGAAAGCCTTGTGTGTATGTCTGTATGTATTGCCTTACTCTGCAGTGCATTGCATAATAACAATTCCTTGGGTGACTCAGGGATTTAGAGCTGAAGCCTGACCTAAAGACATCTTCACATGGTTAGATAGTGCCTACACATCTCACTGTCCTTTGATGTATTTAGGAAGCTTAGCTCTAGCCACAGACATTTGGCAATTGTTTCCATATTTATGCATTTTGCAGACATCTTTATTGCCACCCCTGGAGGGTGAAACCTTTTTAACTGGTCACAAAGAGATCAATGAGCCCAGCACGTTTGCACAGGTTAGAAATAGTCCGCAGACATTTTATAGGCAATCTCACCCCTGAAACCTGTGCAATATTAGCACAACATTTACAGATGCAGCATTGCTACCTAAATTAGTCATTTTTCAGAGTCCTTTTTAAATTAGATTTTCATCTGCATTTCTATAGTCTCCACCTTTTAGCCATACAATGCCTACAATGTCACAGTGATCCTCAAATACTAACTGACCTAAATAGTAAATGCCACTTAACAGGTAAAAGAATATAAGCTATACACAATGCAAAACATTAATTTGCTCTAAGAAAGATGGAATATAAAATGTAATACTTACGATCTAGTCCATTGATGTATCGCATTGTAATTTCACAGTGACCCCATACAGCGCTAACAATAGGATAAAGTTTTTTCCCTTTGAGTCCTCTGAAGGCAACTCCTAAATATTGTCCATCTACTATGAAGCTAAGTGTCCCCTCATCCATATCTAACACTACCAACAAGGAGTCTGGGAGTACAAAGGATTCATCGGGTTCTAAAAAGGCTGGATATGTAACGCCAGGTTGGTTTTTACAGTTATGATATAGTTTATTTCGTCCTAGGTCCCAGCCCCAAGACTCACTATTGCTTCCTACCAGTGAAGTATATCCAACAGAATGTAATGGGGCATCAGCAGTTGATACCCCAACAACAGCATGGGTTCCTCTTTGCCTGATGGGCCAATGCATCTGCCAAACGTGAAGGCCCCTTGTATAGCCAACTTTCCCTCGGATGCAGTCTGTACTTTGTGCAACTGGGTGTCGATGGAACGTCAGACGGTCATCCTCTTTCACAAAAATATTCAAAGACCGATCTTCATTATTCCATGAATGTTTATACTGAACGTCCACAGTGGCCATAGGCATGTCCAGCAGCATATCTAATCGAGCAGGCTTGCAAAAGTCTGGGCCCCTAAGTTCTCGCTTGACTGGTCTGTAAGGTGGATCCCGTACGTCCACAGACTTGATGCTCCCTGAGATCTTTTGACCCATTTCTTGTCTGTGGTCTAACAAAAAAGGGGCAGGGTAAGGGAAAGGGAAGGTGTTCCTGTATTTTCTTCTGTTACCTCATGAACACATTTTATCTGGAAACCCCATCACTTGACCATCGGCAGTCGTCTTTGGAAGACCTTCAGCAGAACGTCACTCTTCACAGACTTTATTCCTGAAAGAAAGTAGCAGAATATATAAGCTCAGATTGAAGCGACAGAGGAGGGATTACACACAAAAACGCAGATCAATAACCTCAGCCTTGGACTACATGTTCCTAAACACTGTTTATCTTACAAAACTATCGTTTGTCGGACATTGCTTAATTCTCCTTTCACGGCACATTATTTCAAACGCAAACATTCATTTTGTGCTTTGTCTAAAAGGGCCAGCAATAAGAGATATAAAATAGATTTTCCCACACAAAGCTCAAAAGCAAAAAGCTGGGGCTTTTCAACGTTAGCTGGATAGGATCTAAAAATAAATGTTTTACCGTAATGTGATAAATGTGAATGTGCACTGTTCAAAGAAACAGCATGTCAGCAAAGGTTTTGTCCAGCAGGGCACTTTCCTTAATACCTTGACACTGCCAGTCAGGAGAGACTGCAACTTTGCTAAGACTTCAGAGGCTCCTTCTTGAGATGTAGATACTCCATATATCTCCTTGCCATCAGCTGTGGCTGACAGTTACACTCATTCTGGACAGACTCTGACTAAGTGTCCGGAAAACAAAATGTGCCTGAGAATGTACAGAGCGCACAGTGTGCTTCACAGACAATAACTTCCTCTGATTCATAATGGGATACAGACAAACAGCGCTTTCCTTCCCTCCACCCCTCTACATCAGTCTAGCCAAAGCCTCGCCTTTGGATGTCAGAACATTATTCACATACTTCTAACTAACGGTTCTGCATTGGAGATCAGAGAACACATTTTTCTGGTGCTGTGTCAGATATAATATTTTCCTTATACATTCTGTGCTGCAGTCCTTAAAGGAGTACTCATACTGTCTATACTCTACAAAACTGTGGATAAGGGCTAGTTCACACCAAGCGCAGAGCAGATCCAGAGCAGAGCAGGTGCAGACCGGATCAAAACTGCGTCCAATGTATTCCTATGGTATTTTGAGCTCCAGTTCACATCGCAGCGTGCGGATGCAGAGCAGGTAAAAAAAACTGCAGCAGACCCTATTTTACCTGCTCTGGATCTGCAAACGCATCAAAAATGCATGCAAATGCCTGGAACGCACTGAAAGCCCATGTTAAACTACAAAAAAAAATATATATATTTTTGCCAAAAACGCATCTAAAAGACTAGCGTGCGTGTGCAGAAACCTGACCGGATCTGCTCTGCATTTGGTGTGAACAAGGCCTAAAGAAGAAGTATAGCATACCAATAAATTATTCCATTATTGTTCAAACACTTGCAGTTTGATATCATCAGCACAAGCACTGGTTGCTGGACTAAAGTAATACTGTGCCTATTTCACTTTCATTTTTCTTTTTCATAACTTGAGCAATTTTCTAAATATGTTTTCAGACCACAGTCTATACAATTTGTTAAAAGGAGAACTATGAGGTGAGTGCTTTTCACTCACCTCATAGTTCTAGCCGACCTGTGACAATGAAACAGTCACAGGTCGGCTCAGTAGATCGGGAAGTGAGCGAACACATACCGGCGTTCGCTCACTTCTCGATCCTGTCACGGCAGAGAGCCGTGACAGGGAAGGGGCTGGATTCCCCCCTCCCCGATCCTCCAGCGCTGACGGGGGCGGGTACAGCTGGCTCTGCCTCTAGATAGGCAGAACCAGCTGTCACTCACGCAGCTGGGCGGATCCAGACATAATTGTCGGGATCCACTGCAGCGTCTCAGTATACCGCGAGCTGCACCCTAAGCTCAGTATACTGAGCTTAGGGTGACGGGAGGACGCTGGTTTGTGTCCTCTCGTTACCCTAAGGAGAACTATGGGGAAAACCCCTAACCCAACAGTTCTCCTTTAACCCTAGATTTTAAGTCCCCGAGAGCAGTGACTATCGGTTGCCCTTGTATTGCCTCTTGTGTCCATGTTGTAAAGTTTTACTTTTTAATTCATTTTATGTATAGTTTGGCCAACTCTGGACATTTATGGGTAAATCTTTCAAAGGAAGTGTGAGAAGGAGCTGTTGCAGGTGTTGAGAGTAGTGACAAGGATCTTTGTATCTCAGGCAACATAGAATCATCTCTCTATCCACTTGTTTCTCAGGGACTATATGGTTGTATGGTATGGCTATAGAAAAGGTAGACACTGTGCTGCCATTACAGCCAAAATAAACACAAGGTAAA